TTTACTACAACTCAAAGATGTATGTATCTTTTGGGTGAGACTTACACCCCAAAATCTACAGATCAGGGCTTTGATGTTACAAAGTCAAGGCTGCAGTTTTCTGATTAAGTGTAAATAATGTTTCTCCAGATGCTGTTTTGACAAAGCCGCCTTCGTTTAATGGAGCAAAGATTTCCAGTATTTTAACATTGTCCTTTCAGTAGATCAGTCTAAGGTCTAAGCAAATAGCCTGGAGAAATTTTAGAAACAGTCAAGAGATGCTTTAAGAGGATGTTTCAAGGATTCTGGATTCATTTGATGAACTAGAACTCCATATTCCACTTCCATTAGAAACATAGCACAATATATTTTAGAATAGGCTTAATTAGAGTCTCTCTGAAAGAGAAGTACCTTGCGGGCAGCTTGTTTGATCTTGAATGGGACTGAACAAACATTCCTTCCCATTTGCTTCTGAAAAAAAGAAGTTCCCAAATAAGAAAAAGGTCAATAACTGCTGGGTTGGATGGCCGTTGATGTTTCATTGGTTACCAAACACCATAATTTGGCTCTTTGAATAGTTGATACTGAACTATTAAAGCCGTAAACAGATAAATTGCATAAGGCTCCTGTAAGTCCAACAAGTTTGGTCATTAGAGAAAACCTATAATTTTGACAGTAATATGTTTCAGAGTCTACAAAAATCATGAAGCAAGTAAGAACATTAATCTTAAAAGGTAGAAATCTTGATTTGCAGTCTTGTCCTTGCCTTTCAAGATAACTTTCAGCCACTCCTCCCATGTTGTACTATCGGGGAGCAATAACATCTCCTTGTGTTTTTGCCATGGGACACGTGTTCTTTATGCCCTCGATAAGATGGTACTTCCTGCATGAAGTTATATCTGTGAGGATGCTCCACATGGAAGAATATCAAGTGGTTACTGTGATTTGTGCTGGCGAACTGACAGCTTGCTAAGAGTTTAGTTACTGTAAACATGGCTGAAAGAGTAGTTTAGTCCACTTATACCTTAGGGGGAGCTGTGGAGCATTATCCAGTGTTTAGGGTTTATTGAATGTTTTCTCTTGCAGTTCAACCTACCTGTTGTTTTCTCTCTCTGTGTTGTGTGTTAGTATGTGTTAGTGCTTGTGCTCTGTAGGCCTCTCTGTTGTATTAATGGCCTGTAGTCAGTTATTGCCTTTCTGCAAAATCCTGTTGCAGTAAATTCAGTGAAAGCAAACTCCAAAGCGTGGATTGGATTATTTCTGAACTCTGCCAACAATTTGTACCCTGGAAAAGATAATGCTCCAGAATTGCAACCATGCTTCTGTAATAGACATTTGCACATTTTGGTGTGACAATTACATGACTACTTATGCTGACTATGATAATCAACATAGTTACCCAGAACAGTTAGAGGTTTTTGAAGAGGACTTCCATTAGCTGTTCTTGTCTGTGGATGCAGAATAGTGCCTCTGTCTTAACGGAAATCATTTGCTTTGGAAAGTAGAGTGAAACCAGTTCAGTCTAAAACTGGATTGAAAGTAATTAATGATGTCTGCATTAAAACTGCTACTCAACCCATTAGAGTTCCTAGGGCTGAGCTGTTGGTTCTTAGCAGCCAATCAGCACATTTTCTAGGTTGCACACTGAGGTAATCTGAAATCTAGGTGACTTCAGGCAGTATCAACACTATGGCCGCAATCACACGCACAATTAGTCGCGCCATAGGTGCGAATGTCGGGCAGTTTTAAAGGCTGCGATCAGACACGAACATCTGGGAAGCGCCCCACATCCGTTGGCAACATGTTTTGCTCCACCACAGAAGCAGAGTAGAAAGACACCAGGGAAGGTCCAGTAGCAAACAGGATGCTACAGGCCACAGACAGACTTTCCCCTGTCTGATCGCTCCAGCGCGCTCTCATGGCGTCAGGATGGTCTGATCAGGCCATCCCGATTCCGTGCCATTGTTTCCCCCCCCCCTTCTCAGTATGCACATCATCTCACCCTCCATAGGGAGCCCTCAGTGCTGAGATGCAATTCATCGATTCCCCGTTTAAGCGCATCAGGAACAAACAGAAAAAAAACCCCACCAGACTCACCTGCGGTTGTATCTGATCACGTGGTGGTGGTGGGCTGCCCCCACAGCTTCCAAGGACTGTGTGATCGCGCAACTGTGGGTCAAATTCCTCCGGGGGAAATAGCCTTGCTTCTCCCCCACACACACGTTATCTCGCGTGTGTCACTGCCACCTATGAGTTCCTGCCTTTTGAGAGAGGGGAGAAACAATTCCATCCTCTTCCCCTGGCAAGGAGAATCCCTGCCCCCATTCCTAGAAAACCAAGAGGACTCTGCATTCATATTGCTCAATGGGCATGAGAAGAACTCACCTTCTGTCCGTACAAACCCAGACTGCACTGAAGGTACTCTGATTTATGGGGCAGGCCTGGAATTAGGATTTAGGAAAACGGAATGGAAGGCTCATCCCCTCTCTCAGTTTCTCTTCCTCTGCCTCATTTGTACAGTTATTATACTACCAGCACTGGGAGGGAGAATGCTGTGAAAGAACTAACACATCAAACCTAAGAAAAGTATGAGGGATGTGACTTATTGAATTCATCAGCTTCATTTCATATAGCCGTTATTCTTGGGTTTCTTAAGAGTTTGCTGCACATGAGCATCAATTCAATTTGAGATTAAGAAGATCAAATGCTGGTTAAGCTCTCTTCTAACATCTTACCTTGAGCAAGAGAGAAAAAGAGAGAGGGAGAGGATCATTATCTACAAAAACTGCAACTTCTCCCTGCAGCTAAATCTTTCTGAGTGTAACTAAAGAAAAATTTTAAAAGGAAGAAATTTATTCGCTGACAAACCAGATATTCTCTTGGGAGACTTCTGCAGAAATTGGGATGGGTCTTTGAAGCTCAAATTGGTTTCACTTGTTAACTATAGAGCAGGTTTCCTTGTAGCAAAGTTTGAAAACTGCATATTTCAGCTACATATAAATAGCCCAAATCGACTTTTTACCCTATGTAATTTTAATGCAAATTAAAGCATCACAATTGCTGAATGTCCTAATATTAGGGCAACTGCAGGGGATTTTCAGAAAAGTTTGCTTTCCCAGCATGAATATTAACAGCTACTAATTGGGTAGCTGCCCTGTGTTAATATTCAGATTTTCTTTTGACATATTGAAACTGGACTGCACTGTAGATGTTAACTACAAGGTAACTATTCTGAATGCAGTCTGAGACCAGAAGGTCATTATGTCATCACAAAGTTGTTGGGTTGGGTTTTTGTTTTTTGGGGTTTTTTTGCTTTTGACAACAGTAATTATTGAACAGCCTCACTATATAGAGAGTTTCCTAAACACAAAGAACAAGCTGGAGCCTGCAGATTTCAAGGCAACTGAAATGGGTTCACATCAATGCCAACATGAGCAATATCTGGTCTCTTTCAGCTCATGCACACTAAGTCCTGCAGTGATGGGTTTCTTGCTCTATTTCAAGAAACCACTGAAAAATGTCACTGACTCGCTCAGAGTGTTCGTGTGTTGGCTTCAATAGCTATGAATCTAAGCTTGTCAGGGAAATAAAATTCTCTCTTTTGACTGAGCAGCATTGACTGGGCAGATATTTGGTAAAAATTCTATCCCATCTTTCATCAGTGTAATTTTTAGTCAACTTCCAGTCAAAAGGACTAAAAACATAATACGATAAACTTTTAAAGCCACTCGTTAAAATAGCATGCTACAGCGTCAGCACTAAAGATTTAAAAGCCAGCAATGACTTTAAAACCAGGCCAAGAATATCACATGTGCTAGACCAGGGACCCAAATGTGGATTCTGTGGATGCCATGGTGCCCAACCAACACCTTTCCTGGTGCCTGCCAAGCGCTTTTAGAAAGTGGGTGGAGCCAGGTGAGGCTTTTGCTGAGAAAGGCTTCTGATTGGCCACTCGAGATTTGATTGGCTGTGCAGATTTTTTAAAGTGTTACTTTGGTAGCAGCTGCCACCACATCACAGGGATCTTCACTATGTATGGCTGGCTCCACCTCCTGTGGCAGTCATTTTTGTATGTATATTTACAGTCATTTTTGGCAGCCACTTTTTTAGTAGCCATTGACTAACCCACCAGGCAATGTCAGAATTCAAAGGTGCCCAAAGGCCCCAAAAGGTTGGGGACTCCTGTTCGAGACAAAGGCATAAGTGAATAGAACAATCTTAGCCAGATTTCTGAGACTAAGAAGAGCAATCAATGCATGTGTAGTAACAAAGACGCCAGTATGAAAATGGAGGGGCACACCAGGAAAGGACCTAGATTTGGAGGGGTCTTTTCTGTTGTTGGAAGTTTTCTTACCAAGAAAACAAGAAGTCTAAATAACAATGTATTGCTAAGTGTGGAATTGTAGCCACTTCAGACAGTCCATTGAGCTCTCTGATATGATGAGAGCCAGTTTGGTATAGTGGTTAAGTGCGCAGACTCTAATCTGGGAGAACCGGGGTTGATTCCCCACTCCTCCACTTGCACCTGGCTGGATGACCTTGGGCAAGCCGTAGTTCTGATAAGAGCTGTTCTTGAAAAAGAGCAGTTACTGTCAAGAGCTCTCTCAGCCCCATCTACCTCACAGGGTGTCTGTTGTGGGGAGGGGAAGGGAAAGGAGTTTGTAAGCCGCTCTGAGACACCTTTGGGTAGTGAAGGGCAGGGTATAAATCCAATCTCTTCTTCTTCTTCATCATCATCATCATCATGAGGAAGCAAAATCAATGTTAAGCAGGAAGGCCAGATGGCAACAGGGTCCCAGTTTCTAGATTCCAGTTTCTGTTTAATGGGTGTGTGTGGTTCAACTCAGGCTTGAGCTTCTGTCTTTGAAAGCAGTGTCTCAGTTGTGTTTCCACATCAGATGTACTTGCACAGAGCCATGGCCTCACTTGGTCATCATGTAAGTGGTAAGCCACAGCATGGTCAGATTGCCACCATTCTATTCCATTGGTTTATTTAATATTCTCTTCTTGGCCCTTTTTAGGCATATAAACGGAAAACCGAAGCAGCAAAGAAGGAGTACCTAAAAGCTCTGGCAGCCTACCGGGCCAGCTTGGTTTCCAAGGTAACGGACTATGTTTCATAAGTGAATCTCTGTGGATGTGGCAATGATAAATTAGTTGCAACTCATGAAAATCTCTGGGGAGGAGCAAGTTTATAAGAAACGCACTGTAACCATGCTATCCAAACTAATTTCAGTGTTAACTACCTTCTGTGAGAGCTAAGTGAAATACTCTGTGGCATGGCTCAAGAAAACATCGTGAAGATGCCAGTATTTCTTCTGCTGCATCAGAATAAGACCTGGTTTCCTGAGGGTTTGTTCAGTATTTTGAGATAAGGCTAGCTATAACCAGAGTCATAACTTGGTTGTGCACACCTGGGCAAGGAATAGATAATTTTTAAATTCTCATCTCTGTTTCAGTTCGAAAACCTCCATTTTGACTTTGCTTCTCCCCAGTGAGAATCAGATCTGTGATGTATTTTCACACCACTTTCTGTTTCTCACAGCAAATGTTTCCCATAAAATGTATGCATTTTTCAATATTATTTGTGCATCAGGAGATCAGCGATTTAAATTATATGTATATTGTATATATAAATGGTGCACAGTGTACATGTAAATACTATTCATATTAATACTGTACTGTCAAGACCATACAGCATTCATGCACAATACAAATTAATGTACGAAACTAATAGTGAAAAGCAGAGAACCAAAACCACGGATAAAATGGAAACGGTGACAAAGTAGGGATCCACTGCTCATCCATGTAGAAAGGTTCTAGCACATTCTTGTTTTACCCTCATAAACAAAGACAAAATTGTCTGCACATTTCTTTCAAAAACTTTTAAAAATAGGAGGGGCTCAGTTCACAGTCAGACCATTTCAGAGCCCTTGTGGTTCTCTGTACTCTGTGTTTTCTTCTAAGCAATATCCTGCCAGATTTTCATCATTGTGATTATAGAACTTTAAGAGTGGTGACATTTTTGGAAGGGATAGGATTGATGGACATGTAAAAGGACAGATTGTTTTAATTTGGAGGTACTAGAAACAGGCCAAAAAAAAAAAAGCTACAAAGGTACCAGAGAAGGGGATGCATTTTTCATTATTTAAGAGGCATCTGGATGGCCATAATCAGAAACATAATATTGGACTTTGTCTAATTCAGTAAAGAAGTTCTTATATACATGCCTGAACCCGGTCCTAGCATATAGAAAAATCCTACAAAATGGGACCAGATACAGGCTGGGGGGACGAGTGTGCCCATCTCAGGGAATTTCCAGGTTTGCAGAAAAAGTTTAAACATATGTTCTTATAACAAAAGAAAGGAGGGATGAAAAATATATAGAAAATAGATTGTGCCAAGATATTGCAAGATTATCCTCAAAAGATTTCAGCAGCTGTTTTGGATTGCCCAACCCTTGGCATTCATCGACAGTGTTATCTGTGATTAACTAAACAACTTACAATGGCTGCTGAGATCCTGTGAGGAAGCACTGCAAGATTTTGGTGGTCATCTGCTGAAAGATTGTCAGGGGAGAGAGAGAAGGAGTGGGCAGAATGGGACTGGGGAAAGGATTGGGAGGAAGTTGAAACGGGAGGAAAGGAAAATGGAGCTAAAGGGTTGTCAGTGGGAACCAGAACAGTGAGGGGAAGGAAATTCCCCTCTGTAAGTCTCATGGGTCTACAATAGGTTTTGAAGAGATGATTTATTAATACAGCTAGATCACAAAAATCCAAGAGAATAAAGGTGTTGAATGGTACAAAAAGAACTCATATAGAATTGTGGTTGTCATTCACCATTAATGCACACAGTATATTTGCATATGGTTATTGGTTCCCTTGTTTGATTACACTTATGACATTGATCATTAAGATCATTGAAAACTGCCAAACATGGCTCTCTGTTGCTGCCTGTTCCAATGCTTCCACTCTAAAATCTGGCCATGCCTGCTGCTGTTCCTTCCCAACGTATGTCTCATATTATTCTATTGTACTTGCAGAGTATAAATCCTCAGCACCTCATATGCTGAGTCCTGAGAGCTCTCACTTCATGGGATTAGAGGTCAGGAGTGCACAGGGCCATCTGTGGTACCTCTAAGCAAAGTGTAGCCAAACACTTGGGTTTAGCAGTGAAAAAATGCTACTTTCTATTTGTTGTTATTGCACAATGAAATAACAGCTGGAATTGAGGGAGAAATGTTGGTAAGTAAGCCTGGAGGGGGAAGATAACTAGTCAATAGATGCTGACCCGTGCAGAGACAGGAGAGAATTTGGTGGGATTTGATGAAAGTTGAAATACATTGAGGTAGGATTTATTTATTTACTTTTTATTTGTCTTGTATCCCGCCCTCCCTGCAGGCAGGCTCAGGGCGGATCCCATCAGTTTCAACACAGTACACAGTACAGTTTAAAAACAGTTTAAAACAACAATATAAAACAACATAAGTCATAGAGTGCCATGTATAATTTAGCCGGATGTCTCAGCAGTAGATGGTTCTTGTATAGCGCGCCAGGAGAAAAACGAAACGCGGGGGGGGGGGGGGGCAGGGGTCCGCTGCTTCAGTCAAAAGCCTGGTGGAAGAGCTCCCTGGATGACCAAAGTCATGTCTTGGGTAATAATGTGTAGCTTAGCCCTTAGCCTGGAGGTTACCAGTGGTAGAAGAGGGCTGAATACTAAGCATTCTTGGACTGAACTTGACCTCTGTATCACAAAATGCTCAAAAACCACATAGAGTTGCTGAAGTCGGCAATGCAACTGGCCAGGCAAAGACTGCAGTTTTGAAGTTAATATTGAATGGAATCACATTTAATTTTTTTAAAATGTTCCATAATTTTAATTTTAGTGTAATTAAAACTGAGGTAAACACACACTTCATGCTGTGGAATAAGCACTGAGGAACCTTGCCTGGGGAGTTAACAGAGCCATACTTGAAGGTTAAGAGCTGTGGCGAAAAGGTCAAAAAGGAAATAATCCGAGTCCCTTTCGTTGGTTTAAGTGTTTAAAAAGATTCATAACGGCATTGAATGTATTAAAGGTTGGATATTTGGAGATTGGTATTCCATTCACGCTGCATATAATTCATTGGCACAGTACCTTGCCGCATTTAGCGAAGCAGCAATAATAACTGTTATGGGCTTTTTTTTAAAAAGGAGAGTTTTAAAAGGTGACTTTCATATTTAAATAAACCTGAAATTAGGATATTTAGCAGCAAAAAACTCTATACCTTTGCTAGTAAATGGCTTAAAATCTCATCCTTTGCCTTAGATAGATAAATAAGTAAAAAAAAATAATTGTTACAGAATCCCTGCTTTTGAAGCAATCCACAGAATGGAGCAGGTGGCATGGTAGATAGCATATACTGTACTCAATAAAGTCTCCCTCAGTTTGAGGCTTTTTGCCTTCATTAGTTAGACAGTAAGAATTAAGAAGCACTAGTTTTTATCCCAACTTTCCCAAGCTTTATCATCAGCTGAGATGTTGTTCCCTTTCCCGGGGCAATCAGGGTACAGTAGAAAGCACTGTGGGATTTTGACATGGTTTCAACCCTCTGCCTTCTGCTGTGAAATCACAGTGTGGCCTTGGGAAGCACTTGTCTCTCAGGCTGCATTTGGATGTAACCATAAATCATGGGTTGTTATTATAAGAATGAACTTCGGGTTCCAGCATTCCATCTCTCTCTCCTTCCTTCTTTGGCGTTCAATTTGAGAACTGGTTTATGACTAACCAGAGTTTGCTACTATGTTCAAACCTCCATGTGTGGTTTATTCCTACAGACCAGGATTTCAAATCATATGAATCCAGATGCCTCCAAGACTTGTTGTCATAACAGTGATTTAGTCACAGTGATCCATGTGCATCCAGCCTAGATTACTGTAGTGCACTTAATGTGGGACTTCATTTGCAAACTGTTCAGAAACTTCAATTGGTCAAAGTTGCAGCAGCCCGGTTGTTGTTGGAGGTGGGATGCTTGGATTGTATCACACCTGTGCTGAAAGATCTGTGCTGGCTGCATACCTGATGCAAGGCACCATTCAAAGTGCCTGTTATTACCTTTACAACCCTGAATGGCTTGGGGTATTGGAAGGACTGCCTCTGCCCATATTGTCCAGCCTAACAGATCATCCTCTCTCTGCCTCGCCTTCAGAGCAGAAGCACGTGCAACCAGACAAAGGGCCTCCTCAGCCTCCTTAATGGTGGTGCTTTGTCTTTGGTGTAGTGGTGAAGTGCACCAGTTTGGTGTAGTGGTTAAGTGCGCAGACTCTAATCTGGGAGAACCGTGTTTGATTCCCCACTATTCCACCTGCACCTGGCTGGATGACCTTGGGCAAGTTTTAGTTCTGATAAGGGCTGTTCTTCAAAAAGAGCAGTTTCTGTCAAGAGTTCTCTCAGCCCCACCTACCTCACAGGGTGTCTGTTGTGGGGAGGGGAAGGGAAAGGAGTTTGTAAGCCGCTCTGAAGGGCGCGGCATAAATCCAATCTCTTCTCTTCTTCTTCTTTAAAATGCCATCCTCCATGAGACTCTTCTGGCATTTGCCTTACTTTCTTTTGGGTGCCAGGCTAAAACAATACTTTTATCCAGGCTTTTACCTAACAGGATTTATCTTTTTAAGTGTTTTATAGTCTTCTTCTGCCCTGAAGATAATTTTTATTTACATCATTCTAGGCTTCTCAATGTGTACTTGTTATTCTCTGACTTGCTTTAATGTCATTGACTTGTACTTTATGGATTGATTGGTGTTGGCCTGTTTTTAATGCTGCATTAATAGCTTTGTTTCATTAGTTGTAAGCTGCTTTGAGCAGGTTTCTGGAGAGGCAGCATATAAATGTTCTAAAGAGTGTAGTGGTTAAGAGTGGCAAACTCAGCCCTGACCTGGATAGCCCAGGCAAGCCCCATCTTTAGATCTTAGAAGCTAAGCAGGGCCGACCCTGGCAAGTATTTGGATGGGAGACCTCCAGAGAATACCAGGGCTGGGAGGCCAGAGGCAGGCTATCAAGCCACTTCTCTGAACGTCCTCTGTGCCCCAGTAAGAGTTGCCAGAGGTCGCCATGACTTCCAGACACAGGCAAACACACAGACACACACACACACACACACAAAGCAAAAATACCAGGGGTGGGGGGAACAGTGGTGGACTCTAATCTGGAGAACCAGGTTTGATTCCCCACTCTTTCACATGAAGCCAGCTGGGTGACCTTGGGCCAGTCACAGTTCTCCCGGAACTCTCTCAGCCCCACGTACCTCACAAGGATGTCTGTTTTGGGGAGAGGAAGGGAAGCTGATTGTAAGCTGCTCCAAGACTCCTTCGGGCAATGAAGAGTGGAGTATAAAACCAACTGTTCTTCTTCTTAAATAAATAACAACAAACCATGGTTCGTGGTTAAATCTGATTGCAGCCTCAGCCTCCATTCCCTGTTAGTAAAACAGAAATAACAATGATAGGGTGGTTGTAAGGATGAATAAGGTCTTAATTGTAAAAAAAGAGTGGCATTTCCAAGTGCCTCGTACATAAAATGTATGAAAGTGCTGCATTGTATAAACCATTGTATAAACGTAAAAGCTATGTATAAAAAAACCCTGGAGGGTTTATACCTAGCAAAACACCCCAAAATGCAGGATGTCCCTTGATGATAGTAAATATACCTTTGCCCTCCTTGCTTATTGATTTTCCACAAAAAGGATAAGCCTTATTTTACTGCATCACCATCTATTACCATGGGAAATAATGCTATGTCCCAAACCAATCCTGGTGATTCAGGTGTGGGATTAAAGTAGTAGATGAAATGGCCTTCAAGGGAACAAGGCACTCACATAGGCCCTTGTGCTTGGAAAACAAGGACTGCCGTGCTTGGTCTCTGGCAGGTGAACAGAAAGCAAGGGGTTTCCACTTTTTGGATGTCTCACTTATCTGGCCCTCTGGTAAGCCAGGACCCCTTTTTATCTCCACTGTCAGCCTTGAGCATAGAACAGCAAGGCTCTATCCAAAAAAAAAAAAAAAAAAAAAAGGAAGAGGAGGCGTAGTCCTAAAATAGCTAGCTAGGTCAGTTTATGCTAGATAAAGCATCCCAGTCTCTGCATTGAACTGAAATTCACTGTCTTTAAAATCTTGTTTTCTTATTTAAAACATTTCTATGCTGCCTTTCCACCCAAAGAGGGTCCCCAGGGCAGCAGACATCAAAGCATTAAAACATTTTAGCTTTAGAACAGCATTTAAAATAAAGTAAGCGTGTGTGTGTGTGTGTGTGTGTGTGTGTAAAATAAATAATTCAATAAAATCATATCAACAAACATAACAACACTGTAAGGGAGGAAGGCCAATAACAGTTAATAGGGGTGCACCAAACTAAACAAAAAAGTCTTCACCCACAGGTGGACGACAACAATAGTGGGAGACAGCTGACTCTGTTTGGGGAGGGAGTTCCAGAGGTTTGGCGCCATAACTGAGAAGGCCCTTTCTTGCGTTGCCAGCCATCTAGCCTCAGGTGGTTTGGGGCACATAAAGAAGGGCCTTCTAAGTTTACCAGGGTGAATGGCTAGGTTCGTATGCAAGAAGGTGGTCCTTAAGGCATGCGGACCCCATGCCACATAGGGCGTGAAAGGTCAATACCGGCACCTTGAACTGGGCCAGAAGCAAATTGAGAGCCAGTGTAGATAGAACGAAACTGGAATGATATGGTCCCTATGATCCACTCCAGTCAACATTGGATCCACAGCATTCTGTAACAACTGTCACTTCCAAACAGTCTTCAAGGGTAGCCCCGTATAGAGCACATTGCAGTAATCTAATCTGGGTGTTACCAGAGCATGCACCACAGTTGCAGGATCTTTCCCATCTGGAAGGGTCACAGCTGACTCAGCAGCCAAAGCTGGTGAAAGGTGCCCCTGGCCACTGCTGCTAACTGTTCATCCAGCAGCATCCCCAAACTATGAACCTGCTCCTTTAGGGGGAGATATCCCACTTGCTGGGTCAGATCTTCCTTCCACCAGTAACACCTTGGTTTTGTCAGGATTAAGTTTCAATTTGTTAGCCCTCATCAATCCTAAAACTGCCTTCAGGCACCTGTTCCAGGCCTCCGTGGGATCTGCTGGAAGAGTGAGATAGAGCTGAGTGTCATCCGCATATTAGTGGCAACTCAGCCCAGATCTCTGGATGTCCTCTCCCAGTAGTTTTATGAAGACAAGACAGATCCTTGCGGGACCCTGTAAGCCACAGGCCAAGGGGCAGAACAGCAGTCCCCCAGCACCACACTCTGAAACCTACCTTTGAGGTAGGACCAAACATCTGTAGAACAGTGCCTTCCATTCCCAACCCCGAAAGGCAGTCCAGAAGGACACCGTTATTGATGTTATCAAAAGCCCCTGAGAGGTCCAGGAGAATTAACAGGGTCGCACACCTCCTGTATTTCTTGGCACAGGGCAACCAAGGCCATTTCAGGCCCATAATCAGGCCTGAAACCAGACTGGAATGGATCCAAACAATCTGCTTTATACAGGGTTCCCTGAAGTTGCCCACCCACCACTTGTTCAAGCACCTTGCTCAGGAAAGTTATATTTGAAACTGAAAGGTAGTTATTCTACAGAGTAGGTTTCTTTGGGAGTGGACGTGTAACCTCAGCTTGTGGGTTCTGTGGGACCGAAATTGGAATGAATCTTGCAATAATTCAAGGAGAATAAAACATTTTTACTTTTCAATAAATATCATATCATGTAACAAGACATAGATCTTAGTAACACAACAGAACAGTGATTGTTTAAAGTCCAAACAATTAGCTTTTCCCTTCTTCACAGCTTGCCACCCCAAAGTCCATCTTTTTTCCTCTTGTTGGTGGGCCAAGAAGTCTCCAGCTGAACACTCTGTGCACCGGCTTCCAAAATGAAGGTCCCAAATGAACTCCCCACTAGATAACCCAGCTCTGAAACAATAATACTAAAATTACAATTTAGAACAAAAGTCTCCCTTCCTTACCAGTTTCCATACATAGATCATAGTTACCTTAAACAAGGTGTTGAGCCTGTGATTAAGGTTCAAGCTCCCCAGCAGGGCAGTCTTGCTTCCCACATTCTGTATCCTTCTGCATCTAGAGGCTCCAGCCCTTCCTGGCTCATTCCATTCCTAGCTTTGGGTTACAGATGCACCACTGCCTACTTCAAGGCTGGGGCAACCATGCCCTGTCCCAGGGAGGCATTTACTGTCTTCTGGAGCCCCACCCCCAGTAGATTAACAACCAGAAGGGACAAGGATTATGCAAGAACATAAGAACATAAGAAGAGAGCCCTGCTGGATCAGACCAGTGGTCCATCTAGTCCAGCATCCTGTCTCACACAGTGGCCAACCAGTTCTTCTGGAGAGCCAACAACAGGGTATAGAGGCCAGGACCTTCCCCTGATGTTGCCTCTTGGCTCTGGGATTCAGAGGCTGACTGCAAGTACAAACAGGTAAGGTAAAGGTTTTCCTTGCTCGAAAGCCAGTCGAATCTGACTCTAGGGATGCGGTGCTCATCTCTGCTTCCAAGCCGAAGAGCCAGCACTGTTCAAAGACATTTCCGTGGTCATGTGGTTGGCATGACTAAACACCAAGGCGCATGGAACGCTGTTACCTTCCCACCGAAGTGGTACCTATTTATCTACTTGCAATTTCTTGCTTTCGAACTGCTAGGTTGGCAGGGGCTGAGACCAGGTGCTTGGTCTCAAACTTCCTAGAATACTTTCCGCACCCTCAGTCTGGACAAGCTGAAAGGTATCTCTCACAACTGGATAAATTGGGACTGTATAAATTAGCAAAATGCTTGCAGTGAGCTGCAGACCAGTTCACCTCCTCCTGTAGGCTGGAACCCAATCGGCCCTTGACCACCTGGAAGAGTTCTGCAGGTCTACACCGTGTGGATGTAATGGTGGCCAAGAAATATTGTGTCTTCGCCACCATCACTATTACAGAGTAATCTTTAAAATGAGCCGTAGCGCATGCCTTGTCAGATTCATCTCAAGTCTTTCTCCACTGTCGCTCAAGCTGTCTCCCTTGTCATTGCAGCTCCTCAGGGCCCAGGAACAGTTGTGTCAGTTGCCTAGGCTGTATCCTTGTTCCAGAGGACAACCAGGGCATCAAATTGTGCACAGACTACATAGGCCAGAAAATCACCAGTGCCATAGGAAAACCAGTTAGATCCATCAGGCTCCGGGGCAGATTATCTTAATTACAAACATAAGCTCATATAGTTACAGTATCCCTGTAAGTCTAAACCCCAGCAATTAGTGATCTGTCAGTGACATGGGGACCATCTTTAATTCCCCCCACCTTCAGATCACCTTCTTCCTGGACAGAGCAAACCCTAGATCAAAACTGTGACCTCCACAGTGTGTGGCACTTAATTCTAAGTGACCACTGAAAATTGGCCTTTAAAAGATTGTGGAATCTCTGGGGAACTTATTATGGGGGGATGCGGGAGAGAAGAAGACAACAGTAGAAATCATGGCAGAACTGGAGTGTGTTTGGAACAGGAGGCAGGCAGCACTGAGGCAGTATTTAAAATGAGGCAGTGGTTAGCATGAAAGACTGGGGAGCTCTGGGTTCAGATCTCCAGTAGGTGGTCCAGACACTCTCCTTCTCAGTCTGGCCTACCTCACGGGGTTTCCATGAGGAGACAGTAAAGGAGGGGAAAGAACTGTATACGCTGCCCTGAGCTCCTTGGAGAAAGGGTGGGATAAAAATGGGATAGATGGTATGCACTTAGTTGCCTGTCTTTTCATTAGCCTTTGATCGCAATAAAAAGAAGGTGCTGTTCCAGAGGAAAATATTTCAACGGCACAATGATTTCAGTTTTATTTCCATCAATTGATGAGATTCAAACATTGGTAAGATGTGTCAAATATATCTTACAGGTTGTTCTTAGCATTTTCCAGCTGCTAGGGGATAAGGGTTTTAAGGGAAAGGACAACACTTTCAAATAATCCCAAAGCCCACGTTTTGTTTGCTTGATTTAAATAACTTTAATTTGCAATTTCCTTTGCATTTGTTTGTTTTTCCTCCCGCAGAGCTCAGCTGACCAGGGGGAGACAAAAAGTGCCCAAACCAATCAACCTTCAAAAATGATCCCACCAAAACAGCCCTTGTACACGATGCCACCACAGGCCTCATCACCGTATCCCGGCTTGGGGTCCTTCTTGTCCCCATCAGATCTGCAGAGTTACCGTGGACACCCTCACCCCAGCCTCTCCAGGACCCTCAACTCCAAGCCTATGTTGCCCAGCATCAGTGCCTCACCACCTCCTTCTTTCCAAATCAGCCCCCCTCTCCATCAGCAGCTGTCTTTGCATCACCCGCAGAGCTCCATCCTCAACCAGTCCCTCAGCATGCAGCAGGTCCCACAGCAACCCATCCTGTCTCCTTCCATGGCACTACAGGTACAGCCCCCGATAAACTCTTCACCACCAGGGCAGCAGGTGAGTTGTGTGGGTCCTTCTGACTGCAGTTCTTAAGCAGGAACGGCTTAACTTAAGAGTTTCCATGCTAAGATGGCTTGTTCAGACAGGAGAAGTCCATGGACAGCACTGATTTTCTGGATCACACAATGATCTTGATCCTGCAATTAAATACATCATATACCCTGGAAGGTTTCCCTTCTCTGTTGTGGAAGGGGCACAAACAGTGGGCATCTCCAAAGGAAATAAAAGTTTATCACTACCGCATTAGCAGATAGTTGTGTTATTCGTGGGGCAGTAGCACAGTTAAGACAACTAATGCAGACTGTATCCATCAAAAAGCTTGTGTAAACATATCAGAGTTACATGAGTTCATTTTCTACTGCATTTAGTAGGTATAGCTTGTGCATCAGAGGAGTTCCCCTGGATTTATTACCCAAAGTGTAAGAAGTATTTTTCCCAGAGCTCCCTATACATTGGTATGCGGAAGCCAGCAATCCTTCATTGAGCAACCAAAGGCTCTTTTGTTCTATAGACAAGCAGGTCCAGGGATACAACAACTTAAAAGCTGCCAAGTGGATGTCATGAGGGAGGAAAAAAATAATTGTATTGCAGGTTTTCGTCGGCCTACTGTAAATCAGCCTAGGGTTGTCTGAACATATTTGCATATGAAGACATACAAAAATTTTAATATATCTGATATTGTTTATTGTGGTGGTAAATTACCCACTTGCAGATTTGGGCCAAAATGCTTAAACTCACTCCAGAAAATCATGGTGAAGCTGAACTAACAGTAATTAGAATCAATGGAATTTATGTGAGATCAGAGAGCTGGAGCTTTAGAAAGCAAGTGTTCTGCATTATTGGCCCAAAGTTCATAAAGCTCTTTGCTTGAACTCCTTGTTACTGCCCAGATCTCACATTTATCAAGTGAATATAAATTAACCATCAGGTTGTAATTAGTCCCTACACAAACATGACACCATCAGAAGTAGCATCTCAACAGAATTAGTCAAGAGGGCTTTTTTTTTGCACAGGTAAATGAAACTGTACTGTAATGAAATGGTATAGAAAGTTGCAGTGGTAGAGGGATAGGGCGGGACTGTGGCCTCCACAGCTGCATATCACTTTAAGTATGCTCCAACTAGGTAGTTTCTACACCATTTAACATGGCATGTTTAAATGTTTATAATTTGTTGCAAGTTTGTTTCAGCTCTGTTTTAGATTTCTGATTATTTTCAGATTTCTGTAGTCCAGACCCTATTGCACTGTTCATTGGCTGTCCCATCCTGTTGATTATACTTGACTTACACTATGTAATCCGCCTTGAGTCTCCGTGAGAAAGGTGGGACTGTGAATAACCTAAATAAATCCGTAAGTGGGGTTGTCACTTAGGACTGTCTGAGCTATCAAAAACTGGCATCTAATGAAGAAACAATGCTTGAATAGTTAGATTTGTTTGTTTGTTTACAAAGTTACTTTATGTTCAGCTACCTTAATTTATCGTCACAGAGAGAACTGTACTTGAGCAGGGTATAGTTATGAATGCAAAAAAATAATGCTTTCCCTTAGTGTGCACAATACACACAATAGATTTAGGGTTTGATCCAAACCAAATATTTTTTAGTGGAATGGAGTTTCCTGCCTTCCTCCACCCACTGCAGCCCAGTAAACTTCATGAAATTCAGCTTCTGGGGGACAGGGATCCTGAGGAAGAACAGGAGGGAGTTCTACAGCACAAAGTGGGAATTCATGGAAGTTGCCCTTCTCCTTTAGTGGGTAATTTTACTGGGTTTTTACTCTGGATCCAATCCATGGAATAAAGTTTTTTAAAATATCATGTTGTAAATCAAAGGAGGGAACAGGAGCAGAACATTCCTTTACAATCTGTTGGAAAGATATCCGTTTTGCCCCTGATTAACCAGAATTCTTGAGCACATGTCCCACTAGCTTGAATACTCATTGCTTTCTATACGCTTAAGAACTGTGCTAAACTGTGACTTCTCTTTGTTCTGTTTGGGATTATATATTCTAGCAAGCATTTACACATAATACTGGATTGATTTGGTCATACTTGTATGTGTAACCTTTCCCCCCCTGTTTCTTCCCCACTTAGGACTTTTCACATATTTCATCTGAGTTTCAAAACAGTGTTGGACCACGATCGCCAGGTGCATCAAACCCCCCAGGAAATACCGACTGGGACAACGATTACCCCAGCAGAGAGTGTGGGATTAACCACTGCAGGCCAGTAGACAAAATACAAAATTGCACCATGCTTACAGGGTCATGTAAACTGCATTTGTTTGCACCATCAGGGACACAGTAATTTGTAATTTAAGGTCAAGAAGAGAGAACGGTGAAGTAATCAAGACACCATGTTCCAGAAACATTCATATTTGTTTTGAATATGAGTGTGTTCTTATTTAGAACCCTGTCTTTCCAAGAACTAGTGCTATCTTGTTCCCAAAACAATTGCATGTTATAGAACAAAAATGGCCCAGTTTTAATTTGACAGCTATCCAGCATTTGCCTTGAGCTATCTTTCTTTCACGTGTCACAAAAACAAATGGTGTGACATGGATTTATGCCATGAGGAGAAGCTCAGCAAGTGGGAGTAGAGTAGGGGGAATAAGACTGACAGACATATCCACTTCCTCCCTGTCTCTTCCTCTCACTCTTCAGCTGGTCTTTTGATGCCCTCTTCTCTTCCTGAATGTGGCAGAACCAATGCCCCCTGCACCCTACACATAGAGGGCCCAAGTGCTGCCACAGTGGGTTAACTGGATGATTAAATTCATTGGCCAAACACAGTTTCCATGATCATGGGGAACTTCTCCTAAGTACCTGTCACCCTGGAATTTGCTTCTGGATAATTGCCCAGTTCACACATTACTTCGCACTCATGAGCAAGTATCCAGAAGTACTACAGTGGTTATGAAGCATGATACCTAAACCAGCCCCAAGGCATTTGGGATTGGTTCATAAAGGATGTTTAACTGCGGTAGGGTAGTGATTGAACAGATAATGTGTATACACCCAAGTGCTTTTGTTTCTGCGTTTCCTCATAGTCTTCTACTGATAGTTAGTCTGTAATTTTTCCTCCCTACCAGGGTCAGCGTGTGCCTGTCAGAGAGCACATATATGGTAGAGTATGGTGCTTTAACTTCCTCCCTGAAGACTTAATTGAGATAAACAGAAAGTTTTGTTAGAAAAATGGCTGGTACTTCTAACATATCAAGAATACTTCTAAGCATGGACAGTGTACGTTTCCCTTATGATTAAGAAAAGTATCAGAGGACATCACTTCATTTGTGCTTGATTTCTCTGCCTCTCCATGCACATTGTGGCTTGGTTCAAGCATAACTGCAAACCGTGGTTTGCTGCTACATGAACAGGGATTAAAAGAGTTTCAGGCTCCTCACGGGATCCCTCCTCTTCATCCTTGTCCCTCTTCTTGTACATTGCAAGCTAAATACTTAGCTAGCCATCTGAATGGGCAAGCTGTGGCGTATGTTTGCCTTGCAAACAGATTCCATTCAGTGAGTAACTGTATCTTTTTTCTTTCCCATCCTATTCAGGGAGGCAATTTAAACTGGAAAAACATTGTAGGGAAAAGGTTTAATCTCCCCTTTCCCTCAGCACTGTAACCCAATTGAACTGAGAAAACACACAGCTGTTGCAGCCTACAATAAAATCCTGACCTGTCATATCATTATGACTTTGGTCTTCAGTATCCTGACAAAAGCATGGTTCCTGGGGCTCCTTGCAAAGTTCCTGAACAGTTAAAACCGGTTTCAGAAGACAGGACGAGGATATTGAAATTCAGTCTTTTGCTATTGAATTCATCCATCTCAAAAAGGCAGTGTTGACCTGGGCCGGCAATGTGCTTCCAGTTTCAGGGTGGGCAGCAGCTTCTCTTTATTTCTGTGGCACAAATAAATATTGTGTTAGTCCCCTAGGAGTATTGCAGTCTGTTTTTAAACTGCTCTGCTGCAGGGATTTTCTCTCCCACTTTGTCCTTTGGGGATGGAAACCCACTAGGGGAAACTTGGAGGGATGTTCTTTACTGTTCTTAGAGAATGCTGGGGGGGGGGACTGTCTCCCAGTGTTGAATAAAACAGTGTTTGCATTTTAAACCCAAATATTTATATGAGCCTATGTAAAGTCAACAGGCCCCCTTTTAAAGGGAGGGGCAATTGTCTTAGGCCTTACAGATTGACCCTTTACTACAACCAGCAGCAGCAAAGAATAATTGTCAGCTCAGCTGAACTTTCAGTTAAGCAATACTGCCAACCTGTGTTTTCAGATTTCGACTAACTTTAATGATTCAAAACCTATTGCATGGAGGGAATGTGATTTCATTAGCGAAGAGTGCTATACTTTGCAAATGAATCAATTTTTCGTTCTTTTAGTGTTTGAGGGTGTTTTTTTTAGCATACTGGGGGTTTTGCACTGTTTCTAATTTTTGTAATCCTAGTCCTATTGCATTGCTTATTACGTCTCACTATTTTCTTGCATTGTTTTACTACAATCATTGCACTGATTTACTGTGTAATCCACCTTGCGTCTCCGTGAGAAATTAATTAATTAAATCCAGGCATCAAATAAAGGTGGTTTTTTGAAAAGGTTATAAATATCTGTTATTCCCTATCTGAGGGGGGGGGGATTACATTGATGGAGGATGCAGCAAGAAGGAAGGCAGCCTCAAATAAGTGATCAGCCCCTTGGCTTCTCAGAGTTTTTAAAAAGGCAAACAAGGTAGTTCTCAGATATGAATGTTGAATAGTTCTCAGGGTGGAGAGGCGCTAAGCACCAACATGCAAAGATTAGCCATTTTGTAATAAATAATAGCCATACATCGCCATTTTTCGGTAAGCTTTGGAGTTTTCTCAGAATTATAATTGATCTCCACATGACAAAGTTCAGTTCCTCTGGAGGAAAGAGCAGGTTTGGAGGGTGGACTGTATATGGCATCGCATCCTCACTGAGCTCCCTCCCTAAATCCCACCACCCTCAAAACTCCAGGAATTTTCCCAGCCAAAAATGGCAACCCTAGCCCTTTTGCAGTACATTTGTTGACAGCTTTGCTGGATTCAGTATAAACTAGGCATCATATTTCTGAAGGAAAGATCACGGCACCATGCTCCCCTAATAAATCGACAGTTTTACCAACTCAAGTGCCAAAATAGAATATACAAGAAGCAGGACCCGCGATACCCATGGGGTTAGTGTATTCCCCACGGCTCCCGGGCTGCCAAGGCTTCTCCCCGCCACTGCCACCCACAACAACAACAGTGGCAAGCCCTGTGCGGCTGTGAGCTGTCAGGTGCACCAGGCTTCTCTCTCCCCCCCACCGCCGCGGCAACAATTGGCTCAGCTCCTGGTTGCAGGGCCTGCCAGGCTTCTCCCCCCCCCTCTCTGACAATGGCAACGGCTGTGGCTCCTAGCCGTCACCCCCACTGCTTCTCCACCCCCGCTGCCACCGCCAGCACCAACCGTGGTGAGCCCTGCGTGGCTCTGCCACAGATCCCAGGGGTAAGTGTGTTCTCTGCGCATGTGCAGGGAATGCTTTTTTACTTTGGGGGGGATTTAAGTATCCCCCCCTATAGTTTTTTAAAACTTTTCAGATTTTTCTGCACTTGGGACTGCCCCAAGTGTGCACTTGGGACTGCCCCAAGTGTGAAGGAAAATCTCTCTGCCCCCTATGTGCCCCTGATGTGTGGATTTAGATATCCGCACAGAGGGAGCAACTTGGCTATTAGATATATAGACTTAGATCTAGCTGCTTTCCTTTCCCAACTTCAAGGCTCTTTGATTTTATAAGTCTTCCTTGGCTGCTTCTTCAGGGGAGGAAGTAGGCTACACCTAGTTCCTGAACCACAACAAGTGTGACCCTTGATAGTCTTTCCTCTTAATCAGACCTCAGACTAAGGCTATGATCACACACACTAAATAATCCACTTTCAATCCACTTCCAATGCACTTTCCAATTGGATTTTGCCAGTTCACACAGTAAAAATCCAGTGCACTGAAAGTGGACTGAAAGTGGATTATTTAGCGTGTGTGACCGCAGCCTAACTGTATTATGTCACACTTTAAGGGAGCAAAATTGTCCAAGATTTCAAAAGGTGCCCAGTCATTGCAAGTGCCTACCTGCTGCCTTCAAATTAAGACTGAAGGCTTTTATTCAGCACCCAGTGTCCAAGGGGGTCTCCCACACCTGCTAAAAGAGGATAACTACAGGGGTATGTGGGAAAGATACATTGACAGTAAGCTTGAATGGCTTGGTCTTCCTCCCATATTGCTTAATAACATAAACTACCAAGAAGAACTGTTAGTATATTTATTCTATGGAAATATTTTATCTTCTGGTTTAAATATTTAAATGTTGGCATTTAAACTTAATTATCCCCTTGTCCCACAGAATATAGGGGTCGTGGTCATGAAGCCATGGGCTGCCCAGCACCATAGGGAAGCGAGCGACTGATGTGATGACAAAGGGCCAATGCTCCCAATGTGCTCCCGCTCCCATCTGCAAAGGCACAGTCTTGTACTTACAAGGGTCTTTCATAGCCGACCCATCCATTTGGGTAAACACAATAGGATCCAGGAGTTGGACAACTTTCGGCCCCAGCCCCGTGACTAGTGAAGGGTTGATTAAGTCTCGACCACGCTCTGAGTCTATCAGAGCACGTACCCATATGTGGGTACCCAGCTCCGGATTCAGAACAGTCACAGTCACAAAAAAGAGGGAGGGGTATCCGCTCACTGTTTTAGGCGCCTTGGGGTTCAGGACCTCCTGTTCAGCGCTGCTCACTGCATGCCCTGCCCTTTTCCCACCGGTTGGTCCTCTTCTTCGCTGGTTGAATCGGGATCCTCCTCAGGGACACTCGCTTGTAGCGCTCGCTGGGTCTTGGGACAGGTGGATGGTTTCTTCGTTGGGGTGTCAGCCCGTTTCTTTTCCGGTCCCTTCCGTATGGCTCCCTGGGTTCCCGATCCCGGGCAGGTCGCAGCAAAGTGGCCGGCTTTGCCACATTTCAGGCAGAACCCTTGTTTCATCCACTGCTCTCGCACCCCCTTTTTCTGCTTCAGAGGGGTCTTGGGTTTCAGGGACGTCAAAACAGTCTTACCCATGGTTGCAGCATTGTCAATTCTGATAATTCTTAAGCAGCTCTCAGCATCTGCCGCTTTGCACATCCAGTCATTCAGACACACAGGGTGGACACTGTGAAGGACCATCTCCC